TGATAATCCTCCGATCTACTTTCCTGGCTTTTCCCTATAACCCTTGATTCCCTTGTTGATTAAAAATCTGTCTATCTCAGCCTTGAATCTACTTAACAACCCAGCCTCAAGTGCCCTCTGCTGTTTGTAAGAAAAAAAAAAATCCACACATCTACTACCCTCAGAGGAAATTCCTTCTCATCCCAACTTAAAAGGACAATCCCTTACTCTGCAATTCTGACCCCTGGTCCTAGACTCTCTCACACAAATTACCTCTTCATACCTGCCTTATTGAAGACCTAGACCTGGGTACTGGACACAATTGCAATAAGTGGAAGTGACACAAAAGTTGTAAGAATTGAAAATGTACAGGTGAGTGGAAATCTGGCAGTGGCAGATCCTTTTTCTATTCACTGGGCCAGCACTTATTACCCATCCCTAGTTGCCCTTGAGAAGATGGTGGTGAGCCTTCTTGAATGCAGCAGTCCACGTGCAGTACGTAGGCCCACAATGCCCTCGGAGAGCCTTTCAGGATTTTGACCCGGCGACCGTGAAGGAACGGCAATATATTTCCAAATCAGTCTCATGAGTGACTTGGAGGGGAACTTGCACAGGGTGGTGTTCCCATGTATCTGCTGTCCTTGTCCTTCTAAATGGAAGTGGTTGTGGGTTTGGAAGGTGCTGTCTAAGGATCTTTAATGAATTTCTGCAGGGCATCTTGTATATCGTGCACAGTGCTGCTACTAAAGCTCAATGGTGGAGGGAGTAGATGTTATGGAGATGGTGTCTATCAAGCTTCTTGTGTTGGAAACCGTACTAATCCAGGCAGGGTGGGGGGTGGGTGGGAGTGGAATGTTCCATTACACTCCAGACTTGATTTGTAGGCGATGGCTAGATTTTGGGGAGTTAAGAGGTGAGTTAGCGGCTACGGTATTCCTAACCTCTGACCTCCTCTTGTACCTACTGTTTATGTGGTGAGCCCAGTTGAGTTTATGGTCAGTGGTTATCCTCAGGATGCTGATAGTGGAGGATTCAGCACCAGTGACCCAGGTTTGAGTCTAACCTCAGGTGACTGTCTGTGTGGAGTTTGCACGTTCTCCCCAATGTCTGCATGAGTTTCCTCTGGGTGCTCCAGTTTCCTCCAAAGATATGCAGGTTAGGTAGATTAGCTGTGGTAAATGTGGGATTACTGGATCTGGGTGGGATGGTCTTCGGAGAGTCGGTGTGGACTCAGTGGGCTGAATGGCCTGCTTCCACACTGAAGAGATTCTGTGATAACTCTATTTTTGAATACGCCCAATACTGTCGTCTGCAGTTCCCCACCAATCAGCAATTCCTAAGATGTTTGTGATAACTTTTTGTCTTGGGATTTGGAAAGATTATCCCCAATGGCCCCTCAGAAGCTGAAGCAGAGTTGGCTTTTTGAACCCCTGCAGTCTCGATGGTGAAAGTATACCCCCAGTCCTGCTCAGTAAGAAGTTGTAGGTTATTGACTCTGATGACGAAGAAATGGTAATAAATTTCCAGCTCAGAATGATGTATGACTGCAAGGGATTCTGAGGGGACAATGTTCCCAAGCACCTGACCCTTCTGTGTGCTGGAAGTCATGTCTTTTGGGAGGTTAACTACGTGAATGAGAAGAAAGTGTACAGCAGAAATTATGAATAATATTGCAGCAATATCTGCACCTTCAGTCAGTGCCTACACTATCCGTCGGCCTTCCAAAGCTGTCTCATCGAATTCCAAACCAGGGCTGACTCTGCTCAGTGTTTGAAATTAATTGAGATTGGGGCATTTTCAGAGTGTTGATTATGATGAGGAAACAAGCAGCCACTTCATGTTTTACTTTATGGAGAATGAATTGTTATTATAAATACTTTGAAGGACTTCATCATTATTTTCAATGTAGCATCCTTCATGCACCTCTGACTTGTCTGGATGCTACTGTACACAAGGTCCCTATTTTCTGTTGAACGGGGGCATTTGGATGATGACTGTTGTGATTCTTACTGTTTTGCTCCATTTGAAAACTCTTCTGGGATAACCCAAGGTTTTAACCTGACTGCATTGTTCACTCAGCACCTGCATTGAGTGCAGCTTAGCGAATTGAGGCTTTGGTCTATAAGATAATGACCTGTGACATCAAAGAAGCTGAGCCTCATCCAACTGCTTTTGTTGGCCTTTCCCAGTGTATAAAACCTGATGAAGTATTGTTTGAGGTGTGACTATAGATTAGTAGATTCCTCCAGAATTAGATTGGAGTGATCATAGATGATATTTTAAAGAGTTTTACAAACATAATGAACAACATTTCAAGGTAACTTCTTCCTCCTCCAATATGACAAAGGGTAAATTAAATAGAATGCAGACAGAGGAAATGCCTTTTTAATTCCACTGAAACACCTGAATAGATTTGTTAAATGAAGAAAATACAATAATTCCTTCCTTATTGTTTAGTGACTTGTTAAAATTAACCCAAGCTATAGATGTCAGGCTCTCCCTTTATAGGAGAAAACATTTCACATTTATATAGTAACTTTTCCGCCTCTGGCTGTTCCAGAGCACTTTACAGCCAAAGTAGTGTTTGAAGTGTGCTTGCTGATTTATAATGGTGTAAGGCCTATCTGCCAAAAAATAATTCTCTTAATTGTGCTGAGCACCATTCATGTTCAATGCCAGCCTTCCTTTAATAGGGCAGAACTGAGATTGTGCAGTCAGATGTTAGGGATAACACAGTGTGGAGCTGGAGGAACACAGCAGGCCAGGCAGCATCAGAGGAGCAAGAAAGCTGACGTTTTGGGTCGGGACCCTTCAGAAATATTCCTGAAACGTCAGCTTTCCTGCTGCTCTGATGCTGCCTGACCTGCTGTGTTCCTCCAGCTCCACGCTGTGCGTTATCTCAGATTCCAGCATCGGCAGTTCTTACTATCTCAGATGTTAGGAATAGTTGGTTAGACTTACAGATTGTCAACACTATATTGTAAAATTGTGCTGTCATCCATTTTGCAATCTTCTCGCATTCTTCTTTTGCATGTACTACGTTAACCTGGGAAGTTCTCGCCTTTAGTTTGATTTTAGGGTGAGTTCTCCAGTTTATAAACATCACTTACAATTGATTGGATGTCTCATGTTACCTGCCTCACTGGAGCAGTCACAGTGCTTGCAGTCAGTGTCGAGCTTGTCTTGGATATAAGGGCTGATTCTGTACAGGGGTGTTTCCTGGAGATTGGGCAAAATAGCAGATGGAATACAATTTGGGGAAGTGTGAGGTTATGCACTTTGGTAAGAAGAATAGAGGCGTAGACGATTTTCTGAATGGGCAAAGATTTTGGAAGTCGGAAACACCAAGGGACTTGGGAGTCCTAATTCAGGATTCTCTTAAGGTTAACATGCAGTTCAGTTACTATTTAGAAAGGCAAATGCAATGTTAACATTCATTTTATGAGGACTAGAATACAAAAGCTGAGATGTACCCCTGAGGCTGTACAGGGTTGTGGTCAGACAGCATTTGGAATATTGAGCAGTTTTGGGCCCCGTATCTAAGGAAGGATGTGCTGGTTTTGGAGGTGATCTGGAGGAGATTCACAAGAATAATCTTGGGAATGAAGGACTTGTCACACATGGAGCGGTTGAGGACTCTGGCTCTGTACTCGGAGTTTAGAAGTGGGTGGAATCTTGCTGAAACTTGTAGAATACTGAGAGGCCTGGATAGAGTGGATGAGGGGAAGATGTTTCTGCTAGTAGGAGAGACTAGGACCCGAGGGTACTGCCTCAGAATGAAAGGACGACCCTTTAGAACTGAGACGAGGAATTTCTTCAGCCAGAGGGTGATTAGTCTACAGAAATCATTGCCACAGAAGGCTGTGGAGGCCAAGTAATTGAGTATCTTTAAGACAGAGATAGAGAGGTTTTTGATTAGTAAGGAGATCATGAGTTCTGGGAGAAGGCAGGAGAATGGGATTGAGGAACATCCATGATTGAATGGCGGAGCAGATGCAGGCTGAATGGCCTAAATCTGCTCCTGTATGTTATGAACTTAGGAGATAGACATCAAATACCAGCTCCTACCATTGCTCAGGCCCATTGCTCAATCTCAAAGTATGCATTGTTGTGCAAAAATACTCCAGGCTTGTCCAGGTACACAGAATCCTCTTCCAATTTTGCACATGCTGGCAATGATGGCAACAAAATAAATCTGGACAATGCTTGCGTTTAATCTTCAGTCAAGAAAATGATACTACAGAACAGTCGATCAAAAGTAAAGACTCTTTCATGGAATTGATGTGGAAGGCGCTCGTTTTTTGGAGACAATTGGAAAAGATGCCTCTGTGTGGGAAGGAAGAGTAATACTGTCCTGATTGTTTTGAGGAAGGGTCACAGGACCCAAAACGTTAACTCTGATTTTTTTTCTTCACAGATGCTGCCAGACCTGCTCAGCTTTTCCAGCAACTTCTGTTTTTGTTCCTGATAGTTATAGATCTAAGGCCTTGTAATTCACTTTGTTCAGAACCCAAGTTTACTCCTGCAGTATAGTAATTACAAATTCTTGAAGACTACACTTTTGACAGTAGTCATTGCTCAGAGAAACATGTTTCTTTTTTCCATTCATGGGATGAGGGTGTCACTGACCAGACAGCATTTATTGCCCAGAGGGCAGTGCAGTTCAGAGTCAACCATATTGCTGTGGGTCTGGAGTCACATGTAGGCCAGACCAGGTAAGGATGGCAGTTTCCCCTCCCTAAAGGGCATTAGTGAACCAGGTGGGTTTTTCTGACAATGGGATTCATGGTGGTCATTAGATTCTTAATTCCAGATATTTTATTGAATTCAAATTCCACCGTCTGCCATGGCGAGATTCGAGCCTGGGTCCCCAGAACATTATCTGGATCTCTGGATTAACTGTCCAGCGATAATACCAGTAGGCCATTGCCTCCCCCTTCTGTGCGTTGATGGTGTAACTGCTGAGTTGCTACGTTTTGAATTGATCCTTCACTGTCCTCTTTTTGGCACCCCCCCCCCAGGCCAAGAAACTCTTCACTGATCAATTCAGAAGCTGAAAACAGTCCAATGCTGATGACACAGCTGACCAAACAGATCCAGAATTTGAGAAAGAAAATACGCAAGTATGAGGAAAAATTTGAGCAAGAGAAAAAGTATCGGGTATGTGATTAAAATGTTAGATTTGAAAACACTGATTAAAATGACTTTTTGTTTTGTGGTGCTCGGGAATAATTTCTGTACTTGATGGAATCTTCACCTCTCTGCCACATGCTGCAAAGGAACTAATTCTGCCTTAATCGTGGAAAACTTGCTGCGTACAATGTATTTGAAGATGATAAACTGTTAAGGGTCAACCGATCAATGCCATGGGTATAACCAACCCACAATGAAATGCGTCCCCATCAATCTTCCCATTTGCTGAATCTCCCGAGGCAAAATGAAACCCTCTCGAAAAAAGATCTTTTCAGTAGTTCATTTATCTACTTATCTTTTTTTCTCTCCATCTTCACATCTCCCCTGCTCAATTTGGAATGATTGATTTGCGTGACTGCTGAACCCATTCTGAACTAGATAGTTCAGCAGCTCTTCAATGCAGCACTGAGTACTGCTGGGAAAATGGTCCAGATGCTCAGTAATCCTCTGGAGGGGCACAGTTCTTTCAACGTCAACAGTTGCTTCATGCTCATTACCTCCTGGTGCAATAAAATTCTTTTCTTCTTCATTGAAGAGTTCTGTTTGTCTCTCGCCTATGCACTACGATACTGAAATAATTAGTTGGTTGCTTAAATTTAAGCTGTGCTTGAAAGAGACAGGAAATTGTTATTTTCCGTCTTGCAACCATCAGGACAGAAACCCAACTTTAGAAAGGAAAGTGATTTTATGCAGCATGGAAAGTGGGTGCTGATTGGTTGAACACTGGTTGGCAAAAAAAAATTGTTCTGGTTTTGTAGTGACTCCCTGATGAATATCTCTTTTTAGCAATAGTGAAACAAATACAATTACAGCAATAATGATGCAGTATGAATCATAAGCTATCAGATTAAACACCAAAACACAACTTAATGCCTTCGTAATTGACAGATGTACCGTCTCTTAAGTATCTCGCTCCCTGCTTCATGTGTTCATGCTAACTTGAATTTCTCTCAATTTATTGAAGTACTGGTTATCTTTCTTGTAAAGTCTAATGTTCTTGATTTGCCTTTTTCACCACCCATTCACTGCTATCATCTATTTTGGAGGTGGGAACTACCTCGTTTGTTTACAAAGCACAAAGGAAATCCAGCGATGTCCAGTAGGTCCCTCAGTGTCTGAAAGATAGTGATTTGTTTCATTAAACAAATGGAAATCTGGAACTGAGGGGACTAGGTTAATTTAGGATGTCTGGTCAGCATGGATAAGTTGGACCGAAGGGTCTGTTTCTGTGCTGTACGATTCTATGACTCTGAGGCTGCAGTGCAGCCTCTGAAATTCCATGTGTTCGGAGCCCAAGTTCCAAAGAACAGTCAGACTGGAATTAGCACTGTTTCAGTCTTCACAGATGCTGCCAGAACTGCTGAGTTTCTACAGCACTTGCTAATTTTATTTCAGATCTGCACAGACTGTTGGGTATAGGAGTTGGGATGTCATGTTGAGGTTGTACAGGACATTGGTGAGGCCTCTTCTGAAATACTGTGTCCACTTCTGGTAGCCCTATTATAGGAAGGATATTATTAAGCTAGAGAGGTTTCAGAAGAGATTTACCAGGATATTAGAGTCTGGATAGGCTAGGACTTTCTTTCACTGGAGCATAGGAGGTTGAGAGGTGAGCTCTTATAGAAGTTTATAAAATCATGAGGGTATAGATTACGTTAATGGTAGGTGTCTTCTCCCTAGGATGGGGGATTTCAAAACAAGGGGGCATTTTTTTTTTTGAGGTGAGAGGCGAGAGACTTGCAAAAGACATGAGGGGCAAATTTTTTTATGCAGAGGGTGGTTCATGCGTGGAATGAACTTCCTGAGGAAGTGGTGGATGTGGGCACAGTTACAATGTTCAAAAGACACTTTGAGAAGTACATGAATAGGAAAGGTTTGGAGGGATGTGGGCCAAGAGCAGGACTAGTTTAGTTTGGGATTATGTTCAGCATAGATTGGTTGGACTGAAGGGCCTGTTTCTGTGCTGTATGGCTCTGACTCTATCTCCAGAACCTGCAGTGCTCTGCTTTCATCTCTTGTCTCTGCCATGGTGTCCCTCATCTTTCGCATCCTTTAAAATTGGCGTTTTTCTTAAGGTGTATTGCCCAGCATAGGACACGATAATCCAGTGCCTAAACCAGCGTTGGATAAAGACTTTGTACCACTTGCTTGTTCTTTTCCTCTGTTCTGTGCCTCCATATATAAAGGCAAGGATTGTTAATAGCAACCTTTAAGATTTCTGTGCTATGACACTCGTGTTTCTCTTGTCTTATGTTCTCTCTAACTTTGTACTGTTTAGTTTATATTGTGCCTCCTTGTTCTTCATAGCAAACTAAATTACTTCACACCTCTCTGCATCAAATTTCATCTCCCATGTGTCTGCTGCTTCACCAATCTTAAGTCTTTCTAAAGCCTGTTACTATCAGTCGTGCTGTTTACTACATTTTGAAATTTTTGGTTTCTTCTGTGATTTAGAAATTATATCCTTTTTATATCCCAATCCACATCCCTTATTTATGTCAAAATGAGTCGGTCCTAATACTGATCTCCGGGAATACTAATCTATACAGCTTTCCGGTCTGTAAAATGAGCCTTTTCTAAAACTATTCCTTGCTTTCTGTTTCTTACCCAATTTCTTATCCACACAGCTATTCAAGTATTGTATTGACTTTCATATTGAATGTGTAAGGTCTACCAGTGTATGGTGGTAGACATGTATTCTGATGTTGCTATTGCCTATGCTATACCTGGTCTAGAAACAACACAATGAGTTTACAAAAACAGTTCCCTGAGCAGTGAGATTTTTGTCTTGGCGAAGATGCTTGCACGAGACTGCTTATGATCAGAATGAAATTAGTAAATGAAGTGTGTGAGCCTACATAAAGAAAATGAATAGAAAAATAACATTGAAGAGTAACATCAGTGCATAAATAGTTGGACGAGAGATTCTGCAGCTGAACACCATTTTTACTCCCAGTTGAAACTCGCACTGTCTTCAATGTTCAGTTTCAACGTAGAAAGAAGTCTGTGTTTCGAGGTTTCTCATTATGATGTAAAGAGACTTTTTTTTGAAAGAAGTAAAATTGCACTGGGCCGCTGTGGCCTATTGTGTCTATGCAGGGTCTTTGAAAGAGCTGTCTAATTAGTTCCACAAATCATCTTCCCCATAACTCAGCTAATCTTTTTTCCAGCAAGCTTCCAATTTGACCAACTCTTCAGGCAGCTTTGTGGTTTTCTGAAATTTGAAAACAAACAAATCATGCGGTGTGTATAATTATGTAAAAAGCGCAGGACTAATAAGAAAGGATAACTGTAATCTCTCTTGTGGTTATAGCCCTCCCACAGTGATAAGGTTGGCGATCCAGAAGTCCTGAGGTGGATGAATGATCTGACAAGGGCCCGTAAGCAGTTAAAAGGTACAGAACAGCCTTAATGTCGTTGCACACAATTTGTGGTGTGATAGGAGCCATTACTTTCAGCGGCAATTGGCAACAATTATACAAGCAGCAGGAAACACGAAGTTCAAAGCAGCAGCTGGAATGGTGCCAGGAGAGGTCCAGGCAGTGAGCTGATGGAACAGCCTGTCCCTCGCAGTGATTAAAAGATACAAATAGGTTCCCTGAATATTTCCTTCGAAAGCAGCTTGTCCAGCACTGCAGAATGCACAAGTCACCATGACTTGTGTTTGTTATATGAAATAATTGCAAACCATAAACACAAATATGCCGACTTGTACCTCGGACTGGTCTAAGTTCTTAAGATTTGTGTACGAGGAGGTCCTGAAATGATGCCTATCTCTTCTTAGTGTCACAGCACACAATGAGACCATTCTGCCCATTTATGCCTGTGCTCGCTCTTTGAAATATCTATCCCGATTTAGCCCCACAGTCCTGCTTCTCCCCAGATAGCCTCCGTCATTCTTTCTTTCAGGCTTTTATCCATTCCCGTTCGAATGTTACCATTCAGTCTGGTTGCAGCACCTTTTCAGGCTGCGAGCTCCACGTTATAAGTAGCTGCACAAAGACTATTCTCCTCGGCTCCCTTCTTTGAGAGATCCTCGTTCTTTAAGGAATCAGGGATGTGGCGTTTAACCCAATTCCTCTCTGGTTGCTTGTTTTCTCAGCTCATGCAAGACCCAGTCAACACCCTTGTTATCCCTGAAGTCCCATGCCTTTATTTAATTTCAAGATGCCATTCCGATCTCCACCTCTGGTCCATGTATGTGGGGCACGTTAAATTGGCTCCGCAAGGAAGGGCAGGGGGAGAAAAAAAGGCTGATTTGTATTTTAAAAATTGTTTCATGACATTGTCATCCTCCACGATTGGGGGAAAAACTTGACCCCGTACAGTGTATTTCTTTTGAAGCACGGTTTGTTATTGCAGCATTTTGCACCCAGCAAGATCCTGTAAATAACCCAAGAACTGAAAGCCCGGTTAAAATATTCCTGACGGTGGCTGGTAGCGGGAGGAATGTTGGACTGTACAGACAGAAAAATTGTGTAAACAAACCCGGGTAACACTCGGGTTAATCCATATTTAATTCACAACCTATTTATCTGAATACATACCGGTCGTCCATAAAGGCTTTCAAAATGCAATAGGCAATTTTGCATGTTGACCTTATCTAACCTCAGTTGCTTTTGTGTCATTTCCTGTGCAAAATATTGTTGAATTGTTTTGGTCGTAAACACTTTTTTTAAAGCCCTCGATGAGCCGAAAAGCCTCTTCTAGGCTGTCTGACTCTATATGACATACACAACAAACTGGAAAATGACTTCTGTTAGCACCCAGAAAGCCCTGCACGTATACGTCCATGTCACAAAAACAAGCCACAAGCAAATGACCAATAAATGAAGTTTACCAACCCATTGTATTTAAAGTAAGTTAAGGGTAATCTTCTCTTGGCATTCAGGAAAATGTCCTTTCAGCTTCTAAAATATGAAACTTTCATTATGTCCACTGTGTCCAAGAATACTACAGTTTTTACAAAAGTATTTGTCTGCTGGCGCTCCCGGGAGGTGCCTTTTTGTTTTCAAACATGTGGCAGGTACTATGTAAATGAAAGCTGCTGCTGTTCTTACTGTTTTATTTTTTTTTCCCCCACCAGAGTTGAAACTGAAGATCTCTGAGGAGGAGAATAACAGACGGCACAGACATCGAAGCAACGCGTTGCCCATAAACTCCAGGCAGGACAAAGAGAACAAGCACCACGTATCTGGGGAATCCCAGCAGAAACCGAGTGTTGAGGAAACTGTACAGATTGTGATGAAAAAGCTGAAGGAAAAGCAGGAAATACTTGGTCTTCCGGAGGATGTTAAGGTACCTCACCGTAGTTATAATAAGCATTTGATTACTAAGGAATTTGAAATAAAATGATTTGAACAAATGTACGGTTATTTAAATGGTCTGACCAAAACAATTCAACAATATTTTGCACAGGAAATGACACAAAAGCAACTGAGGTTAGATAAGGTCAACATGCAAAATTGCCTATTGCATTTTGAAAGCCTTTATGGACGACCGGTATGTATTCAGATAAATAGGTTGTGAATTAGATATGGATTAATGGTATGATGGTGATCTCATCAGTGGGTTCTTGACTGCTGAAAGCAGCTTACAATAAGAACCCAGAGATGAGATTCCAATCGTTCCACCGTAACTACTGTGTTTTTATTTCTTCATTATTGCGACTTGTATCGGCTATTGCTTTTTGGCTCTGAGTTTTTGACTAGCCCCCTTCACGTTGGGCAATGTAAATAGTCAGTCTTATGTATGTACCCTCTAGTGACTAGATATCTGCTGTTTCAATGTGAATGAGCTATCATCGTCATGAGTTCATTGCCAGGAGGTAACAGATATCCCATGTTGGGGAATCAAGGACGAATGATTCTGAGGTCTAAAGTACAGATTGAAATCAATGGAGCTGCTTTGGGATAAATGGACTCCATATCAATGGCATGTTTTGAGAAGACGTGAAAATGTTGGTCTCTCAGGCTGAGATTGAGAATATTAAGCAGTGGTGAATATACACTCCTTTTAAAATGTATGTTATCAGAGAAAACGTTTCCTGGTTCTCATTTAAGATCTAGATAACAAATAAAATAACAGGATGTGTACCCTGTAAACCTCAGTTGGGTCAGCTCCTTGACTGATAACAATGTCGTCACTGAGTTGGATAGCTCAGTTGGTTGAACGGCTGGTTTGGGATGCAGAGTGAAGGCAACAGTGGTGGGTTTATTTCCTGAAGCAGCCGAGGTTACCATGAAGGGCTGTCTTTCTCAACATCTCTTGTGTAGGTGACCCTCCGGTTAAACCACCACGATGTGTCTCTTTCAAATGAACGAGCAGCCCCATGGCCCAGTTGGACTATGGTGACTTTACCTTTACTTTTATCATGAGCTGGCACTTGACACAGTCAAACACCCATTTACCAGATCCCTTTGCATCCAGCTTCCTTGTATCTAGAATAAACAAAGAACTGCGGATGTTGGAAATCTGAAACAAAGACAGAAATTGCTGGAGAAACTCAGCAGGTCTGGCAGCATCTGTGGAGAGAAATCTGGGAATGAGTTACAGGACTTAAAGTTTAACTCCATGTTCTTCCCATGCTGCCAGGCCTGAAGAAAGTGGAGTCTACGTTTTCGAGTCCCGTGACTTGTCTCACAGGACTGGAAACGTTAACGCTGCTTTCTCTCTCTACAGGTGCTGCCAGGCCTGCTGAGTTTCTCCAGCAATTTCTTGCTTTTGCGCCTTCGATCGAGCAAGTTTCATTTTGTGGTTTCCAGTAATGGTGTGAGACAATTCTAAGGAGCCAGCAGTATGACCCATGAAGATAGTAACTGAGTGAAGGGCCAGCTGTGTCTAATCCTAAGACAGACTCTGAACTGTCAGACATGTATTTAGGTACTGCTAAAACTCCAACTTGTAGCTTGGCAGCACAGAGCACCATTTAAGCTTTTCCTAGCTTGCTGAGACCATCCCATTCTCCTCTGGGATTATCTGGTACAGAAGTTGGAAATCTGGTGTGGGAAGAATCCACAGATCCAGTATCTGATCGTTAGCAATTCTCTAGGCCTGTATAGATTTACCAAGTTTACCAAGAAAGTCACATGTTGACTCTGCTCCAACTGGACATGGATATAATGGCCACTTATCATAGAATCCTTTACATCAGGCCATTTGGCCCATCAAGTCAACACTGACCCAACAAAGAATATCTCCCCACCCCCACCCTCTACCATCCCTTAGCATTTAGCATGGCCAATCCACCTAACCTGCACATCTTTGGACTGTAGGAGGAAACTGGAGCACCCGGAGGAAATCCATGCAGACACAGGAAGAATGTGCAAACCCTAAACACAGTTGCCCAAGGCGAGGGGGAGAGGTGTGGATATCGAGCCTGGCTTCCTGGTGTTGAGAGGCAGCAGTGCTGACCTCTGAGCTAGAATGCTGCTCAAACTGTAGTCCAGTTGTAGCGATGCTGGTGTTGAACTGGGATGGACAACGTCAGAAGTCACATGACACCAGGTTATAGTCCAGCAGGTTTATTTGAAATCACAAGCTGTCAAGCACTGCTCCTTCGTCAGGTCTTGATGAAGGAACAGCCGTCTGAAAGTTTGTGATTTCAAATAAACCTGTTGGACTATAACCTGGTGTCGTGTGACTTGTGACCTTTTGTAGTCAACCTGACTGCAAAGAGGTTTATCATCATTGCTTCTTCCCAAACCGCACCCCCTCCATTTCCTCTCAGTAACAAGAACAACTACCCAATTTGCCATCAAACCATTGACTTCAGCCAATAAGTCGGCCAATAGAAACCACAGGAAGCTCACAATTAGCCCCCTACCTGCAGATATTAGCACAAGAGGTCTCTTATGAAAGATCAGCTTTGGTTCAAAGCCAGGGCCAAATCAATGTTTGATGCAGTTCTGACTGACAGTACTTGCTGGCGACAATAGTCAGGGTAAAGCTGAGGGCTGGACAGGAGACAAAAACAGGAACACAAATCTCCCAAGAAAGCTGCAGCCTCCACTAGACTCTTGCTCAGCAGCCTGAAGAGGGAGCTGGTGTGATAGCAATTACAGAGTGCCTAATCCATCGAACCTTACAGGAGAGCTGATGTTTAGTCTATCACTCCCACAGCAGCTCATTCAAAGAGTAAACAGTAACGATGAGCAAAATCCTCTTGGGCCAATGAAAGGTGATATCCTCCCGTTACAGGAATGCAGCAGAATTTGTATTACTTTTCTTCCTTGCGGGTGTCAAGTGCCGGAGATTCTTCTCTGAACAAAAGAATTCGGCATGTTCACTAGACAAAAAAAAATGAAAGAGCTGTAGATGCTAGAAATCAGAAACACAAACAGAAATTGCTGGAAAAACTCTACAGTTTTTTTTGTGGAGAGAAAGTAGGGTTAATAATTAGAGATAACAAGGTGTAGAGCTGGATGAACGCAACAGGCCAAGCAGCATCATAGGAGCAGGAAGGCTGACGTTTTGGGCTGCTTTCTGATATTAAGTTTAAATCAAGGTTGCAGGGATCACCCATCTTGTTGCACGTCCATCTCATTTCTGAAGAAGGGTCTAGGCCCGAAATGTCAGCCTTCCTGCTCCTCTGATGCTGCTTGGCCTGCTGTGTTCATCCAGCTCTACACCTTGTTATCTCAGATTCTCGCGCATCTGCAGTTCCTACTATCCTTAATAATTAGAGTCCAGTTCTGGCTTTCTTTTTGCAGGACAATGACACCGAGACCATTCTGTGCCTGGACTTTTGCTATAGACTGATCGAAGGCTGTTTTGTTGTAAGTCCCCATATGACTTGGGCCTCACAAAAGTTGCCATTGTGGCTGTGATGGTAATAAGCTTCAGAAGAACATGAGACAAGGAGGTGTAATGGGAGATTAGCAGTGCGACACGGATAAGTGTGAAGTGATGTACTTTGGAAGGACCACTATGACATAATATAAATGGTACTGTATTGAACTAGTGGAGAAATTTCTTCAGGAAGTTAGGTCTTGAACACATGACATGAAGGGGTGGTGGAAATGGAATTCCATAAGGGTTTTTAAAACCTAATTGAACATTATTAGAGAGGGTGTTAGGGAGGAAAGTAGCTGGACTTTGAACCTAAATTTGACAACTCTTTGAATGAGCTGCTGTGGGAGTGATAGACTAAACATCAGCTCTCCTGTAAGGTTCGATGGATTAGGCACTCTGTAATTGCTATCACACCAGCTCCCTCTTCAGGCTGCTGAGCAAGAGTCTAGTGGAGGCTGCAGCTTCCTTGGGAGATTTGTGTTCCTGTTTTTGTCTCCTGTCCAGCCCTCAGCTTTACCCTGACTATTGTCGCCAGCAAGTACTGTCAGTCAGAACTGCATCAGACACTGATTTGGCCCTGGCTTTGAACCAAAGCTGATCTTTCATAAGAGACCTCTTGTGCTAGTATCTGCAGGTAGGGGCTAATTGTGAAAGATGCTGACTAATCTGGGCGTTATTTGATTACTTTGGCAGCTATGGGGCTATTTTTACAGAAGTTACCAAAGTTATGAGAAAGATATGTTATTAGTGTGGTATTCTGCTATATTGATGCAGTTAATTATCAGTCATTCTGAATGACTGTGTATGAATTTATTGCTCTCTCTTAGTAATGGGTCTGCTTTCTGATATTAAGTTAAATCAAGGTTACAGCGATCACCCATCTTGTTGCACGTCCATCTCCTTTTGCCCCCCACCCCCACACACGCACGTGCACAGCCATCTCCTCTGCAGGATTGTCCTGGCCTCGATCAGGCCTCCCCACTCCTCAGTGAGGCCAGTCCTCTACTCCCCTACTCCAATGGGATCCCACCCCCACCCCAGTCTTTCAGCTTCTGTGCCAGACACGCTGTATGCACCTCTCGGGTGGTCTGGGCTTTTTTTTATATAACTTTCCGAATGGTGTGTCTCGTTCGCTTTCCTGTGTCAGCTGCTGTTTGTGTCTGCTTGTTTCCACCTGTGGAATGTCTAGTTTTGAAATGTGCTTTGCAGTTAATTCTGATCTACTGAAAGTAATCGAAGTAACAGCGAGCACTCCTCTGTATGACTCCCACTGATAACTCACCTTTCTTTTGAATAGGTGAACAAACAGGAAAGACTGCTAATGAAGCCTCTGTACGACAGATATCGCAGTATCAGGCAACTTCTGTCTCCTGCTGCAGCCATCCCCACTATTGTAAGTACAGCATAAAACTTTATTGGTGTTCCTCAGGGTGAGGAAAATCAGGAATGCGGGGCAGATTGCATTTCCCAAACAGTGTCCACATCAGGTGCCCCTAAGACAGGTGGTTATTACTCTGCCAGTTGTACAGAGTATGGGTCGGGCCACAGCTGGGGTACTGTGTGCAGTTCTGGTCACCTCAGTACAGGAAGGATGTGATAGCAATAGAGGGGGCACAGAGGAGGTTCACCAAGATGTTGCCTGGACTGGAGAAATTGAGTTGTGAGGAGAGACTAGATAGGCTTGGATTGTTTTCTCTAGAGCAGGGAAGACTGGGGTGGGGGGTGGCATGATTGAGGTGTATAAGATTATGAGGGGTACGGATTAGGGTGAATAGAGAGCAGCTATTCCCCTTATTTGAGGGATCAATCACGAGAGAGCATCATTTTAAGGTAAGGGGCAGCAGATTCAGAGGGGATTTGGGGGGAAAAATAACTTTTTCACTCTGGGTGGTGGGAATCTGGAATGCACTGCCTGGGAAGGTAGTGGAAGCTGGAAACCTTACAACTGTTTGTTAAAACAAAAAAACTTTGAATAAGCACTTCAAATACCATAACATTCAAGGATATGGGACAAGTGCAGGAAGTTGGGATTAGTGCATTTTTAGCGGTTATGTCAGTACAGACACAATGGGCCAAATGGCCTTTTCTGCTCTGTATGAATCTACAAGAAATGTTCCTTATTTGCAAGCAACCTCTTCCTGCAAGCCTCCTACAGATTACATTTGTGTAGCACCTTTAACATAGCAAAACTTCTCCTGATGCTTCACAGGAGCGCATTCTGAGCTGATGATTGAGACTTTAGGACACCAGGGACCAGACAAGAGTTTAGGATGTGGGCTGCAAGGTCCTGGCTGAGCTTCAGTTTCCAGATGCTGAGAGATGGGACGCTGGGAGACATGAGAGCACTGCACTATGATTGGAACAAACACAGAAATGAGGCTACAGTGGTGGAAGAGTTGAGGAAAGGCAGTTTTGGGTAATATTCTGCAGGTGGAAGGGTACTGCACCAGCTTGAATGTTTGGTTTCACATACCACTCAGCCCTTTGTGAGATCAGAGAGATCTCCAATCTTTTTGTTGTGCCCTCCATTCTCATTTAAAACTGACAATGCCTAAACTCGTTTCACAAGCTATCCTGAAGGCAACTCCTATCATTCACACCCGATCAGAAATGAGCTGTAAGGCCGGAGTCCGATCCAAATAGGCTCTTGTTAAAGCAATGTTATCACTGGTTATTAAACATGTGGCACTTTGTTACAAAAACATTTCCGCTGAAACAAATATTGTTACTTATCTAGTCATATATCTATAATATTTGATTAAGAGTTGTAAAGTTGTCACTTTGACTTGTGCAGGAAGAAGAAGGTTCAGATGAAGAAACTATTTCGAAGAGTTGTGAAATATCTACCAGACCAATAGCAGACTTTCCTTTTCAAGAATTTGTAGACAATGTAGACCATCGAGATGAAGACCATGAGCCTGGATTTCTCCCACCTCTGGATGAGAAGAAAGAGACCAGGCAACCGACAACTTCACTGGCCAATCTACATGAAGCCTCTATGTAAGAATGTTTTTAGAATTTAGGTTTTACTGTCACGCGTACAAGACAACAGCAAAAAGTGTACAATGTCACCATGCACTTAGGTACAAAGTACCCAGTTACAAATGTTAGGTACTAAAATAGATTCGGTACAAAAATAGAGGAGATATAGAAAAAAGCTAGAATTTCTACATTATAGTTCGTCACAGTATAAATTAGTAAAATAAAGAAATAAAGTTAAAAGATAAACATTAGAGTCCTTCTGCAGTCGCTCCACACTGTTGGCTCTCCACTCATGGTTTCGCTCTCACCTGTGCTGGGCCCATCACAAACAGGTTTACAAGCCACTGACCACCATCTGTGACAGTCTGACCACCAGCGTCCCGCTCTGGGCCTGATGACCACTGACCGTCCTGCTCCTCTCTCGGCCTGCTGGTCGTCCCGCTCCGGGCCTGATGACCACTGACCGTCCTGCTCCTCTCCAGGCCTGCTGGTCATCCCGCTCTGGGCCTGATGACCACTGACTGGCCTGCTCCTCTCCGGGCCTGATGATCACTGACTGGCCTGCCCCGGGCCCTCAATGCTGCGACACGTTTATGCCGTCACTGCCACTCTCTCCGCAATGCAAGGTTTTTCTTTTTTTGAAAAAAAAAATTAAAAACAGAAGACCAAAAAAGTGGCAAAAGGAGATGGAGACAAAGTGTGAGCCCCAGACGCTGCCTACTCCACCGGCATCCCTGGCTAGGTAAATATTTATTGACCATCCCTAATTGCCCAGAGGGCAGTTAAGAGTCAACCACATTGCAGTGGGTCTGGAGTTACATGTAGGCCAGACCAGGTAAGGATGGCCAGTTTCCTTCCCTAAAGGGCATTAGTGAACCAGATTGTGATTGTTTTTGTTTTTGTTTACAACAATTGAAAGTAGATATATGGCCGCCATTTGGCTAGGTTTTTAATTCCATATTTTTGAATTCAAATTTCATCATCTGTCACCATGGGGTTTGAACCATGTTTCTGGAACATTAGCCCGGGGTTCTTGATTACTAGTCCAGTGATGTTACTATGAAGGTACCATCCCCTGACTGGAGGCAATTTTGTTGTGTTTTTGTTTTAATTGTTTGTTTAATTTAATTCTAGATCAGATTAATTTGAATTGATTAATTGATGAATTAATACTTTAATGTGAAATTGGTACTTGGATTTTGAACATCCGCAGGTGAGCTTATGGGAAATCCACTGAATGCTCCAAGTGTTATCTAATTGTTGTTTTACATGTGTATGGATTCATATATTGGTATGGGAAGTAAGTGTGACAACAAGAAATATGCCCCGATATAAGACTGCTCACTTATAGATCCGCACTGTAATAACTTCAGCCTGAAAAGCTATTGTTTGCAAACGCCAGTGATTGTAGAATCACTACAGTGCAGAAGCAGGGCATTCGGCCCATCAAGTCCACACTGACCCTCTGAAGTGCATCCAACCCAGATTTCATTCCCTACCCTATCGCTGCATGCAAACTATGCAACCCTGGACACTATGGGAAATTTAGCACAGCCAATCCACCTGAGCTGCACATCTTTGGAATGTGAAAGGAAACCCATGCAGACACGGGGAGAACTTGCAAACTCCGCACAGACAGTCGACCAAGGGCAGAATCGAACCAGGGTCCCTGGTGCTGTGACACACCATGCCCACCCTTATCCTGAAATATCTGAGCAATTCCAAGTAATCCATGGCATCATTTTAGAATGGCACTTTGGATGTGAAAACATGAAGATTACAGTATTTCAAAACTATTTCAATTCTTGCTTTGTAATGTTTTATCACTTCTTAATGCTTCAGGTAATTCTATTTACTGGTTCGCATACTTGTAGTTAGGCACTCTATTGTCTAGAAAATTCCAAAATCCAGGAAAGGCTTGGTCATAGCCATTCTGGACTGACGAGGTTATAGTGTCTGTCGTTCTGTGTATTTGACTGTTTAGGTATTGCCTCAGTAGTTATGGATCTACTTAGTACAAATATTTTTCTATTAGTCTGTAAACCTGACCAGTATCTGTTAGTTCAGAGTGACTGCAGGAAGAGGTAATTAATCTAGCAAACACAACACTATAGGGAATGCCATTGATATCATACAATCTTCTGCCTCTTTGGGTTCAAGGTCTGCAAATGTGAATTGCTGCTGGACTGTTGACAAAGATAATCTGTTGTATACTGTATCAATTTTACAGTGAATAATTAGCTCCCTCTGTACTCGCCCAGAATCAATAATTTGACATTGGAAACCACAGTCTGTTCGCAACTCTGCTCCCCGATGAATTTTTAAATTTTGCTGCAATGAATAATTAACAGATCGTAAGATTGCAAAATTGGTACACGTGGGAATGAAAGACGGCAAGGTTTCCCCACCAGCCAGATTCCTGACAACCATGGATAACACCTTGAGGAACCTACATGGTAAATTTCCCAGTCCTTCCAAAGAAGACTGTCGGTCAGCTTAGAGAAATAGTGTTGTAGTCTGTTTATCTGTCTGTACCGCCCCTGAGCACTTCTCCCTGCTGGGAATTTACCCTCCTCTTCTCCTCCCTACCCCCCCCACCCAACCTCTCAACTCACGCAGATGGACACTAGAGGGCAATTGATTATTTTAACCTGTCTTTACAGAAGAACATTCATTCTAAGGATTGGGCATTGGTCACAAGGCCAGCATATATAGATCAGTCCATAGTTTTTTTTATTGATGACTGCGATGCTGTTCCTTTGTAAACTGCTGTTTAGATATTCTGTTAGGTATGGACTGCCAGGATTTTAACTTGCTCACAATGAAGGAGCACTGATATATCTCCAAAGGAGCACCTTGTGTGACTTGGAGGGGAACTTGTAACATGATGGTCTTCCAAGCTTAAAGGTGGCATCGGTAGAAAATTGGGATGAGGTGAATTGATGACCCCGCTCTCACTCCAGGACTTAAAAAAAAAGGAAAAACAAAGTGAGCTTGTGTAGTCTTGATTCTTTGAATATTACCAGAAATGTCACAGGGGAAACAAAAACAGAAATTGTAGGAAAAACTCAGCAGGCCTGGCAGCATCTGTGGAGAGAAAACAGTTAACGTTTTGGGAGCAGTGGCTGTCCTTGAGAACCTGATGGTGAGCTGTCTTTTTGAACTGCTGCAGCCCACCTGCTGTAGGTAGACCGACAATGCCCTTAGGGAGGGATTTCCAGGATTTTGACCCAGTGACATTGAAGGGATGAAGATTATATTCCCAAGTTTGGGTGGTGAGTGGTTTGGATGAGAAATTGAGGATGGTGAACAGGCTTTGAAGAGCCAGCTGAGTTACTCACTGCAGTATTCCTAATCTCTAATCTGTTCTTGTCATCTCTGTATTTATATGGTGAGTCCAGTTCTGTTTCTAGTCAATGGTAACACACAGAATGTTGATAGTGAGGGATTCAGTGATGGTAACACCATTGAACGTCCAGGGCTGATAGTCAGATTGTCTTATTGGAGATGGTCATTGGACGTTTATGTGCCATGAATATTATTTCTCTCTCCAGCCTTTCTAACTCAGTTAGAATGTTATACATTCCAACCAGATCCACTTTCTTTCTTCTAAACTCATGAATATAAGCTTAGCGAAACCAATTTCTCCTCATAAGACAATGCTGCCAGCCCCCGTTGTCAGCCTAGTGTACCTCAGCAACACTCCCTTGATAGAAAGTATATCTTCTCTCAGGTAGGGACACCAAAACTGCACACAGTACTCCAGGTGTGGTCTCATCAAAGACATATATAATATCCCTACTTCTGAACTCATTCCTCCTGCGTTGAAGGCCAAAAGGCCATTTAACTTCCTAAATGCTTGCTGCACCTGCTTGTCTACTTTCATTTACTGGTGCACAAAGACACTCAAATCCCCTTTGTACATCCACACTTTCCAATATATCACCATTTGAATAACGTGTGGCAAGTTGTTTCAACAATGAGATGTTAATCTAAAGTCCTGTCTGACCCCTTAGGTGGATGTAGTAGATCCTATGACATTAGTCTAAGAAGATTAGAGGAGTACTTTGTTGGTGCCCTGGCCAATATTTATCCCTCAATCTACTATATGACAAACTGATGATTTGAACACTTATCTCACGGCTGTGGATGGGAGACTGATTCAGATGAACATACTGATGCAGTCAAATAAAAACCAGATTTACTTATTGGCTGTAAAACATTTTTGGATATCTTGAGCTGGTGAGTCTCTCAGTATCAAGCAAATTTTACTTTGATCTTGTAATGAACCTTTTTTCCCCCTCTAACTACAGGATGGCGTAAATTCATATTTGCACAAGATAACAGTGCCAAATGCTATGTATGTTTGATTTGTATAGGTCTGAATTGTTGGAACATCTTCATGAAACTAGAGCAGAGAAGAAGAAACTCCGCAAAGCTCTCCGAGAATTTGAAGAGCAGTTTCTCAAACAAACCGGAAGGTAAGTCAGGCCAGTCTTTTAACCAGTTCGTCAGAAAAACAGACTTCATTCACCAACAAATAAATTGTGATGAAAGACTTGGGATATATTTTCATTTTGGGGGAAAAATGAGTTACAAAGTAAAACGAGAGGTTAGTACTAATCTTCCCAGCCCAGTCATCTTTTAAAGAATACAAACCAAAGGCTGTAAATTGCTAAAGTTTCACTTAAATATTTTGGTACTGGATCACAACCAACATGCTTTATGAATAGGGCCCATTCTGTTCAGTTTGGAGGAACTTTAAGGAAATCACCCAGGGTGATTTTACCAAGATAATAGATTGAGATGAAGGGATTTATATATGATGTGATTAAAATTAATTGTGAACACCTCTCTGGTCAAGATGAGTATAAAAAAAGGCTAGTTTTAGAAACCAAGCTGAATGGAAATCTAAGAAATGTTGGTATTTAAAGGTCAATGAGAAAGTGAAGTGCTGCTGAAGGCCATAAAATCAAATTGAGGTATTTGGTTCAATCCCAGCCTTGGTGACTGTGCAGAGTTTGTATTTTCTCCTTGTGTCTGTGTCGGTTTTCTCTGGGCGCTCCGGTTTCATCGCAGAGTCTAAAGATATGCAGGTTAGCGACTGACCATGGGAAATGCATGGTCTTGGGGGAGGGAGAGTCAGTGCAGACTTGATGGCCGAATGGCCTGCTTGTGCACTCTGGGAATTCTATGGGCTTGCAAAATGTTGCTGCATGCTCAAACTATCCAATGGCTAGATGAGTAACGTGTCTATGGGATGCTAAGAATTGTTGAGGCTTCTTTTTGTATTTGCTTCTTTCTGTTCTCCTGGAATTCAGGCCAAAAGGATCAGTTCCTCTACTTCCCCGTGAAGATGTACCCATTTTTTTTGCCTTGCTCTATTGATTGTAGAACTGAGAGCAGCTCATTTAGAAGGGATGTGATTTACATACAGACCAACAACTCCTCACATTGCAGCGCAACTTTTTTAACTGACTGCATTGTCTTTTCTGGAAATGATAGTAACTACACAGCCTTTTCTTGTAGGAATGTACAGAAAGAGGATCGCATTCCAATGGCTGAAGAATACATCCAGTACAAGCATACAAAAGCCAAACTTCGATTACTGGAGGTACTCATCGCTAAACTCGATGGCTCAAAAACTGTTTTGAGTTCTTAAAAACAAACCTTACCCACAAGACAATTTTCTGGTCTTTAAAACAACCAGAGGAAATTATTCAATCCTTTCTCAAACTCTGGATATTTGATCCTCGCATTTGTGCCATAGAAACACTCTTTTTTGGCTGCACTTTACTGAAGTCTGAAAATTCCAAAAGCGACAGCAAGAATGAACATGAGGGTTGCTGAGCAACTAATCAAAGTCACTGTCGCTAACGACAACAAACCTTACAATATGCACTGATGATATTTTTGAGTAGGTAGCTTTTGAGAATTTTATGAAATAGATTGTATTCTGGACAATGATAACTACTCCAAATAGTTAATCATTTGTTGGCAAGGCAGATGTTCAGGAGGGAGACATTTATTTGCTCGCCTCCATGTGAAACATCATAGCACTTTATTTGTCATTGTGGGGTAAAAAGTGTGTTATATACTACCAAAAATAGGCTGCCCTTTTCGTGTTTTGATGGTTTCTTCGGTTTTTATCACATTATAGTTTAAGTACAATCAATTTCTTGTTTAATTATTGAAGGGAGAAAAAAGGAAATTCAAAATGAATTTACAGTTGTTTGGACTCCAATCCCTTCTTTCTCATGGCCATTTATTTGTATTCAAGCTATAGGTTATCTTTATACTGGCCACTAAAGTTGTCATTCATATTTTGCTAATTATTTGCTGAAAGATGTTTGCAATTTAGAACATTCGTACGGTGTGTCATTCTGAAATTGCCATATTTTTGTATGCATACTGTTCTTGCAGCATCTTTAAAAGTCTGTGTCCTTAGGGTTTGACTTACTTAAACTAACCTGATCAATTTTTTCAGTAATCCATTGTTTATTGAAAAACTCTTATTTCATTAGGTAGATTAAGAAAGTCATTTGAACCTGTGAAGTTCATGACTGAAAAGAACCCAAAATTTCTTTATCCTAGTATACATTTAAATTGATCTTTGTCTTCTCCAAGATGATTTGATCACTTTGCACTATGTTCAAGTCACTAATACAAATTAGGAGCAGTGGTTCCCAATACCAATTCTTTAAATACACCACATATATCTGGGAGCTCTTGTGGTGCAATGAATGTTCCTACCTCTGAGCTGGGAGAAAGAGTTCAAGTCTCACCTGCTCCACAGCAGTGTCATAACATCTGTGAACAGGCTGATTTTAAAAATATCTCTACTCCACTTACCCGCACTCATGTCATTCTCCTAACATGTATTCGGTGTTTTTCTTTCAGCCAATTTCTTGTCAATCGTCAGGTTTTATCTTGAATGTTGATCAATTTTAAGAGGCAGAATCCAGCATAACACTTACCAGCATTTTGTTTTTGGAAATTAGCACAATAAAATCAGGTTTTCTGCGGTCTGGTCGGAAAGTCATTTCCTCCATTTAAGTATGTTAATATAGTATAGGTACATCTGGTAAGGAATGTAAAACCAGAAGCAAAATACCACTGATGCTACAAGTCTGAAATTAAAAAAAAAAAACAAAATATTTTCAATACTCAACAGGTCAGGCAGCATCTGTGGAAAAAGCCTTTTGTCAGAAGGACTTATTTTGAACTGGTGTTATTTGCAGAGATGTAAAACTGTTGGATTGATACTTGTTTTATTAGACGTTTGTTTTTGCATTTAACAAGACATTCCCTCTGCATCGCTTCAATCTTGTCCCTTTTGGTTTGAACCCATTTGTCTCAGGATTTGATCATGTTAAAGCCATTTGATGGACCACGTTACTGAATATTTTCTGCTGTGAATAACTGGAGAGAATAGTCCGGGAGTGTAGGAATTATTTTTCAACCTGTTTCAGGCCCAGTGGCATCCTTCTCGTGTTTGTTCTTCTTTAGCATCCTTCTTACTGTGCTAGTAATGCTGGGCCATAATTGGCTAGCATTGCTTGTTGTTATTTGTGCACAAGATGATTTCAGCATGTTTGGGTGGTGAGGAGCAGATACATGGTTAAAACTCAAACTATCTAAATGTTGCTGTCCCAGTTGTACCATTCCACCATCAACTTCATAAAGATGGCATCTTGCTGTTTGGCTGACTGTTGAAATGCATTGCCACTGTGAAATTGCAGTAGGTACAGACTAAAGTCACCAGTGAAGGTTGAGTATATTTTGGTCTCGGTTCAATTCTCATGATTTGGTAAGTGTTACGTACTCTGACCTCGCTGGTACTGAAATACATGCTTCCTTTTCTTGTTCACTGAGGTCCTTGAATGACCCGTTTCCTTCACAATACTGTTAGCTCATTTGTAGCAATATGCCATGCAAAAAAAAAACAAGAACTTAAGGTGCAAGGGTAAGTCCAACTACTCTTGGAGGCCAAGAAAATGGCAGCTGATGTATTTCTGAACCCCCATTCTACCACATTGCACGATTTCCAGTACCTTTAACTCTGGGTTGTTTGTGAAAGTCTACATACTTTTGAATGAGAATTAATGCATCCCTAACTGAGGAGTACAACTACCTCCATCCACTCTTACAATCAATTTTCTTAAGCTCGTCTCTCAATGACTTGAAGCTTGCTTTGTTCATTGACCTTTTGGTTATTTCAAGTCTGCATGTGTTTATTATAGAACCTTAATTTCCTGGGTGCTACTACCCAAAGTTTCCAGTGTCTGGTTGAGATTTTCTTATAAGAAAAAGTTATGTTTGAAGATTTTTTTTTTTTTTGTGTGTTTATATGACCTGTGTAAAGCTCTGTACACAGACAAAACTGGGTTTGCCAAAAAAGACTTTCAGCCAAACCTGAACTTCCCCATAAAATGGGTTGTTTGGTTCAGGCATACTGTTATCTACATTTAACTTAAGCAGCAGAAAGAAGTAGATTTAAACTAAGTTGGAAGCAACTGTTTGAAATCCCCATTGGTAGTAACAAAATTTTAACTCAGGTTTTTAATTTGTGCCACCTTTTATAAAATTCCTGTTTCATATTCTCCCAACCTCAGAAATCAAATCTGAAAGCAATGTTTTAAATAATGCTACTGTTCCATTCTTAGTTGAAACGCATGTTTTCTAAGTAACTTGAGATATTTCTTTTCCTTATTGGGGACCATTCAACAATATTGTTCATTGTTCGAAAACTGTCTATGCATGGGGAGAAAAGTAAATTATAAGTTACTGTTTGGTTAAGCTATATAATGCTGGCACTTTGTATTTCTTTTGTAGGAAGCAATGTAACTATGTAAGAAGAATTATAATGAACTTAAATGATACAAATGTTAGAGTTGGTGTTGGAATGTAATAAATAGGATAGTAATATCTGCATTTTACAGCCATTTAATTTTTAGAAGCAGTATAGTTCCATAACACTCTAATAACTACAAAATGCTCTGTAGTTGATCATCCACCCAACTGTAAATCTTTTTTGGAACAGTTCAAATACAAGTATTTTTCTATTGTTACATTTGTTTTCTTCAAATACAGCAGTTTTAAATGTTTCTTATTAACTAGTTATTACAGGTAATGTGAACACAGTGAACAAGTTGTAAGAGTCAAAACTGTATTTCTATTTTGCAAGATAAAGTCATGCTGTCACTGTCACCTTTATGCTTGTTCCATTCAATAATTGTTCTTTCAACGTTAAATACTTGTAGTAGAATGCTATGGATAAGCTAAAATTTTTGCTTTGTGAGAGCACATTAATATCAATTGTGCTTTCTCTTTAAAGCAGGAACTTTGCAGCAATTTTACGGAGTATCTCACAAAAAGAAACAGACATTTACATATTCTTGTAAAATGAAAGTTTCAGTAAATAAATCAATCAGCGGGTAAGCTTTAGGTGAAAAGCTGCATCATTTGCATGCTTTCACAAGAAAAGAATTGAAATAACACAAAATGAAATCTATATTTAATGTCAGTAGTGTGAAATTGTAGATTGTTCAATTAACGTCCAGCACTGATGTTACAAATCTTGCAGCTAGGATCTTTTTTTGCATTTGCTGTGGATAAACTCATTAGCTGATGGCCACTGATTTCAGCCACGCTACCAAGAGAGAGATCCACTGGGTCAGTGTAGATAACTTCTAAAATAGCGTCCTGGGCATGATGATAAACAAGCCTACCATCCTCCTCCGTGCATGTCAGGAATTTGTTGTCAGCAATATTTAGCTGAGGAAGTCGCTGCTTGCAGAATTCATCTCCCTGCGATCCCATAGGTGCAATAACCAAAATGATGTAGTGGTACGCTGTATACATACAATAAAAATCACCAAAATAGAGGTTAGTATTCTGGTTGAAGAGTTTGCTGGCAGGAATCTGATAACGGTACCTCCCATAAGGTGAATCATGAGGAGGTTTTCCAGTGTTAAATTCAGTGTTGCAGCTAAAGAAGATGCCTTCCAGTTTGCCACTGATGGGAGAACCATGACTGCCACTGTTATCTTTTATGGAAGTTTGCATCATTTGTCCTTGATGTTCTCTGAAACAGTAATCTTCAAGTTAGTAATGCAGGGGTATTAATTAATAATTACTCACTGTCCAAATTTACAACCATACTAGAATACATTTTCTGTTTCAAAAGAGACACATAACAAGAATCCTTAATATAAATCAGATTACACTATTTAAGAACTTCACATTTTTAATATGTCTACAGAATAACAAGGTAGTTCAAAAGTAGATAATAATGTAAAATTTGAAATCCTTGCTCCAACTATCCCCTATGTTGATAATGGTACAGATGTCATTAAGCAGACATGTTGCTGTTTTATGCCATGCAGTTAATCCAAAGACCCAGTTTCAAGCCAGCTTGGAATTCTCTTCGCAGTACTGAGTCTGTACTTAACTTCAGGCAACATTTAAAGTAATCTTTTTGACTCGGTGAGGTGCACCTACAATTCTGAGCAGGGCATGAATTTCATAATAACAATGCAACCTTGCTTATAAACATTTAAAGGAATGACCTCCTGAGCGTACCAGAACAGAGTTCTGAAATGAGGGGCAGGGAGATTGGGTACAGGAAGCAAAGACTAATAAGGATGGGACAGGGATTACAAGTCAAAGTACTTGGGAGATGGGCATTATTTTTCCATACAGCCAGGAGCTGCAGCATTTACATGAAGTTGGGAAGAGAATGAGGGGAGTCATCAGTCAAGTAGAAGAACCAATAGAGAAAGGGCAATTAAACCTCGGTGAGGGGTGAAAATACTTTTTCCTCCTCATTCATTTCCAATAAGCTATCCATTGTTGACTGTCTCTTATTAGCTCATAATAATTGAAATGTAATTGTTTCCCATCTAAGGCTGCATTCTCAAAGGTAAATAGCTTGGAAGCTATCCTCATAATTTACAAATCTAAGATTTGGTCATATACCAGATTTCTCAACTCTTTTTCAGTGAACACGGACCAAAGCTGGACTTCGTGTTGGTTGGTAGTGGGGGTGTATTTAGTCTCTGTCAATCCTACACCTGATCTATACCGAAGGGCAAACATACGACTGAAGGCAACATTCCTGGGATCCATTGTGCCCACTTGAAACAGACATCGTGCCCGTTTTATGTCAGCCTTGGGATCCCTTCAGGAAATTCAGCAGGTGTCAGCAACCTAAACTAAGGTCTTCAGTGGGACGAAGTGTTTTCTTTTAAAATATAAACTATTTTGCTTTGGAGCTGGAAGCATCATGGATGCTACTCGCAGCAGAAGGTGCTGGCAACTGTGTGATTAGAAAGTGGGCACCAGCCACAGTGAAATGCTGCTGGCTTTCCACTAAGTGCCCCATATGTGTAGAATACAAGCAGGAAAACAGTTATGTCGTAACAAAGTCACATTACAAAACAGTATTGTCATTCCACACCAAACTAGTCATATTAAGGATTGCATGGGATCATATTGTATGTGAACACATGTAAATTTTGGAGTGCTCCCTAAGGAATCTGGATTATAATACTTTCAGCAATTGAGAAACTGTGAAAGAAGTAGCTAATAAATCTTTTTAAAATATATTCTACAATAATCTGGTTATGTTAATATACTTTGCTAGTATTTTTCTCGTTACCACGCCTAGCTTTTGATGCTTTACTCATTAATGGGATGAGGGCATCACTGGCTAGGCAGCATTCATTGTCCATCACTAATTACCCAGCGGACAGTTAAGAGTCAACCACATTGCTGTGGGTCTGGAGTCACCAGTAAGGATGACAGTTTCCTTCCCTAAAGGACATTAGTGAACCAGATGGGTAATTCCGGCAATCGGCAATGGATTCATGGGCATCATTAGATTCTTAATTCCAGATATTTTAATTGGATTCAAATTCCACCATCTACTGCGCCAGGATTTGAACCTGGGTCCCCAGAATATTATCTAGGTCTCTGGATTAATAGTCCAGCAATAATAGCACTAGGTCACCGCCTCCCCTGAAAATCGACAGGAACTAATTATCTGCAATTAATCTTGGTTTCAGATGTTTCATTCTAATATTTAAAATTACTGAAGTGTTCTCATTTAGTTTTATTATGTTTTCTTACTTCAACAAAACAAAAGGTAATTTAAAATCTAAGTTGTTCATAGATAATTTATTTTACTTACCACTAGATAACTTCAACATACTGCTGCCTGTGAATTAAGACTATATAAAATAATAACTAATGTCTTAAACCACAAGACAGCACAAATGTAAGCATATAGTTACCACTAAGTATAATAATCTCCTTCTATATTCACATACCCTATTTTCTTTCAATAATGTGCCACCATCATTTTAAAAAGTGATTTACAGGTCTTTATTTTTGAAAAAATATTATTCCTCGCAGTGGTCACAGGGTTCAACACAACTAAAAGTTACATCCAGAGATAG